AATTTTATTTGTTGAATATAATTAATTTTTTAATAAATAAAAATTAAATATTTTACTCATAAAAAAATAGGGAGAAAAACTATTACTAAAAATGTAATTTTGACTGATTTTTTAAAAGGCGTCGGTCCAACTGACGTGTTTAGCTTAAAAATATCAGTCCAAGTGACGTTTTTAAGTTTGTTATACTGGCCATAGTCTTAACTTAAAAATGTCAGTTGGTCTTACGTCTTTTAGTTTAAAAACGTCAGACAAACCGACGTTTTTTAGTTTAAAAAAATTAGACAAATTAACATTTTCAAAATTCACTGAGTTTGGGAATCACTTTCAAACCAAACATTTTTTGAGAATTTTTTTTCAAAACCCCTTAGGTTGGGGTAAAAGCTCAAGAATTTTGGACGGTGGGTTTAGGTGGTGTTAGATGGTGAATTTTTTGTATAATATCAAACATATTTTTTATTTTTATTTTCATAAATTTTTAAATATAAATAACTATCAAATATTTTATATTTTTAATTTTCTTCACATAAAATAGAATTAATTCTACTTTTTTTAAAAAATATATATATAAATAAAAACATTCCTAAACGTACCCTTAATTTATTTACCATGTCACTTTTCATATCATCACAATAAATTAGAGTAAAATCATGCTCTTTTTTCCCTCCATGTGAACCGCAAGTACCGGTTAAAAAACTTGAGTCGGTATAATCACATGCTATGTTGCCCCGCAACCACAGCAATGATCGCAACTGCGGACACAACAGTGGGAGACAACTCTGCGACTTGACCTCCCAATGTTTTATCTTGGTGTTTCTCATAAGTCTCAAGAGCACTAGCGTCAAATCAATGGCAGTATACCAGGGAAAATGTAAAAGTTTCATCACCGATATGTTCACGCCACACTAAGGTTTCGTTTGAAAACGGAATAAAAAATAAATAAAAATAGAAGAATAAAAAAATAAATAAAATATCATATTTAATAAAAAAATAAAATAGAAAAGATGTAAAAATAAATGGATTAATTTTTTTTTAACTCACCGAAATTAATCTTTCTAAAATTAAAAAGAAAAATAGATATAAAATTAAGTCTATTTTTTTATCTACCCTACAAACAGACCATAAAGTACTTGACAGAAATGACCAAACCAACGTTACTATATATATCCACCTACACGACTGTCATTTTGATCTATTAACGACTGTTATAACATACACTGTCATAGCACTCTGTGTGCAACAAAAACCTACTATATTTAACTTTTCTCAAAATTCATAATGACCAAAAATCCGTGCACCACAGTGTCCAAATATCATAAAATTAATAATAACTTATATTATAGTAACTTATATTTTTTCTTTAATTATTTAATTTAAAATTAAAATAAATAAATAAAATAAAAAAGAGATAAGGACAAGAGAAGAGAGCCAAAAACACCTTCCATGCAAATTTTGGAGAATTTTAGAGGGTAATAGACATACACCTTTATATTCCCAAGCACAAGGTCGACTCCAACTCAAGAGAGGATATTCAATAAAATGGAAATATCACGTCATATTTTATCATCATTCAATTAAAAAATTATTAGTAATGCGAACTTCACTATTTTTATAATTATCAGTAACCATCGAATTTAATTATCAATTCATAAGATTAGTAGAATCTATTTTTTATCCTGTAATTAAAAAATGCTGACAAACGGACGGTCAAGAATTGCAAGGTAATTTACCAATGCAAGGATGGGTTGGGTCGTCAATCAAAGACAAAGACTGATGGTTTCAAGGAATCCTAGACTAACACAATTACATATCTTCTGCTTACAGTCCTTACATAGTGTTAGTCTCTGTGAGAGAGAGAGAGAGAGAGAGGTAAAAGTGTCAGGGAATAGTCCAGTCAGAGAGCACTGGCTTCCACGGCACCGGTACAAGCCGTAAGTGTCCTTCCTGAAGATGTAGGGATGGGATATTAGAGAAATAGGGTACGTGTAGCCTGCATAATACTACTATCACCACATAAAGCTCACGACATTTGGAAAACCTAAACCCTATCCATACACCAACTACAAGAAAAAAAAAAAAACAAAGAATACCTGTAAACCTAACCCTACTTTCCTATAAAAGATCATATTTCCTATTCCCATTTATGAATGAAACCCTAATCTCCCCTGTATAGCACTAATGCGTTAATTAGAAAAAAGGATTTGACTATGGCAATTAAAAAAAATTGGTGTCAAATTATTTATTATTTTATTTTTGGATATTTATAATACTTTTTAGGTGGAGCTTACATATTTTTACGTTGCACTCATTTTTTTGAATTCAATTATTATTTTTTGATTTCATTTACTACTTTTAGGTAAATTAAAATTTAAAACTTCGATGTTGTATTATTTTCCAGTAAATAGATAATATATTTAATCAAAGTATGTAATATAATGTTCATATAAATACTCCCCAATAAACATCAGTTAGTGTCTTTGATTAATCAGTGACCGCCTTTATTCTTAAGGGAACCTAATTTGAACCAGAATTTAAGCCTATGAAACGAAATTGAAAAATCTAAACCTTGGTAGAAATTCTATTGAGGAGTTAATTCTGTTGAATTAGAGTTTAATTAAACTCGAGTTGAGAGTTCTATAGTTCGGATTAAACTCAAAATTAACCTGTCAATTCCTCTAAACTGCTCATTTACACCCTTATTTATTTTAATATTTGCTTACGGATAGATGAATACACGAGAGAATTTTATGTACCATTTGATAATGTTTGGATAAACTTCATCTACACTTTCTATAGTTATTCATATAGTCAATGACACTCTCTGTATCTTCTGAAATTTTACTTCTACCCATCATAAGAAATTGTTTGTTAATGGTGTTAACGGAGGATACCATTTTACATTAAATACCCTTACACATAGGTGGAGCTAGTTTAGCCCCCCTGAATTTATTTCCCCAAAAATTACCTATGTAAAAATTCACAAATTTTTTATTATATTGCCCACTCTATATTATTTTTGTCATATTAATTGGTATAAATATCTAAATAACTATAAACTTTCGGACATACTTCAAACACATATTCAAATAAATTTTAGACATATCGAGGTTATTTTATAATTTTTAGCAAAAAAAATGAAGGTATTTTAATATTTTATAAAAGTTAGGATAATTATGAAATAAATTATAGGGTTAATTTTATAGGTCTATAATGGAATTAAGAGTCACAACTTAAATATTATTATGTTTTTAGTTAACAAGATTATTCTAATTAGACCACAATGAAGATTTAGAGAAAAGTGAAAAAAGTGGTTAGTGAGGGTGTGACTCTCGATTATTTTGTAACTCTTTCATAACTATCTAGGATATGCGATTGACCTTTATTTAAAGTCAAAATAATTAACAACAATACTATGTTACTCTCAACACTTTTTGACCAATTTAAAAATTATACTAATGAAGTCTAATCTGGTATTAAGTTTATAAACCTAGAAAGAAACATTGGTCTTCAAAAAAAATGGTTAAGACTTCAAAAAACATAATATATCTATTGACTTATTTACTTATGATTTTGTCATTAATTTTATCGGTTGCATTTATCGCAGTAGAAAAAGTATTTTGAGATATAACAAATGTGAACACTTGGTTGCATAACTTAATTTGTGATAAATAGGTAATTAATAATATGAATTAATACAAAATAAAGATATTTTTAATGATATTAATAATTAAATTAACACACAAGTATACAACGCTTTTCAAAAATATAAAAATGGTCGAGCTGCACGGACCTTTATTGTTTCTTCTACAACTAGTCATAGAGTTGTAACAGATGGGTGGAGTAATTATAAGATTTGTAAATTAAAGGGTATTTTTAGCATTTTGAAAGAGTATTATGTCATTATTTTCACTTTTCAAGTTGTTAAACATGACTCTTAAGACAAGTGGGTGCATTGAAATTTCAAAAAATGCATAGGGTGTCATTGAATATATAAATAACAAAAAAAGAGTGTGAATGAAGTTTATCCATATTATTTTCTAGGTATTTTTCAATCATGAATAATTTCGTCTAAGCAATAAGAATGGTTTTATTATCATTATCTGTAAAGGTATTGTACTTGAACCATTCTTAGTACTACTTTTTTTTTTTTTGGCAAGAACCATTCTTAGTACTTGAAATTTATGTTTTAAAAGGTGGGGTTGCCCACAGCAATTGCTAATCCGAAATGTTGTCATCCACTAACAGTGCCAATCCTTTTCCACAGTACCCATTCGTCCTTCCACACAGCCTCTCCTCTTTCCTTTTCTGGCCATGACGGAGACAACATTATCTTTCTCACCACCACTACTACCACCACCATCACCACCCCCGCATACATGTACAATATTCACGAATTTTGATCAATCAGAAGCCATATTTACCCCACGCTCTCTCTCCGAGTATAACATGAAGTTCATCCTCAAGATTTGGTCCTGGTTGAGATGCAGATAACGTTTTCTTCTATTATTACCATAGCAGTGCTAAGGGACCTAATAGGGCATAATTCAATCCAATCATTGAATTAATTGTAAATTTTAATGTTAAATAAAACTTTGATTAGATTCTCAAATTATGTCTAAATGACATTTTCTTATTATCACAAGCATAAATCTTATAAGAATCGATCTAATAGAAAGATATAATCAGAGATATACTTCAATTTATCCATTGGTTTAGTTATGAATTTTAATATTAGATAAAATTTACTTTTAATTAAAAAAATGTATTTGATTATGTCTCTAAATTAAATCCAAACATGTCAACCCAAATTTAACTAAAAATACAAAACCTAACCCGATTCAAATTTTGATTGTATTTAAATTCGATCACAAGTTTTTGATATTCGATTCAAAGTTAGTGGGGAGTTCAAGATGTGCACTTGCTAACCATACTAGAAGTGAACCTAATTTGAACCACAATTTAAGCCAAGTTAAGTAAAAATTCTATACCTTGGCAGAAATTGTATGGAGGAGTTCGGTTGTATTAGAATTTAATTGAACTCGAGTTGAGAGATGAATATGAGAGAATATTACTCAACATTTAATAATTTTTTTTTCCAATGTACTTTTTTTTATTAAGAAAAATATTGTTTAAGCATTAAAAATAATTTTATTGTTATTTTGAAATTGCGAAGTTCTTGCATCTTGAAATTTATGTTTTAAAAGGTGGGGTTGTCCAAGGCATTTGCTAATCCAAAATGCTGTCATCCACCAACAGTTCCAATCCTTCTCCACAGTAACCTTCTCGTCCTTCCACAGCTCTCCACCTTTCTTTCTTGGCCATGACGGAGATAACATTGTCCTTCACCACCACCACCATCATCACCACCGCCACCCATTACAGCTAAATACACCCGTCATAGAACCTGTTCACAGCATGGCCTTTTCGACCAAGTCTACAAGCATCAGCATCTTTAATGGAGAACACTGCGATATTGTTGATTTGCAACGGAGAAAGAAACCTGCAAGGAAAGATCGGCATAGCAAAATTTTCACAGCTCAAGGTCCAAGAGATCGGAGAGTAAGATTGTCGATAGATATCGCCCGCAAGTTCTTTGATCTTCAACACCTTCTGGGTTGCGACAAAGCAAGTAATACCCTTGATTGGCTTCTCAACAAGTCGAACACAGCCATTAAAGAGCTAGCGCAGACGAAGCAGCTTCACAGGTGCAGTGGAGCTCCTGCCAAGAGTTTTTCTTGTACTTCTGAATGTGAAGTAGCTTCAGGAACCATTGAAGCTGCTAAGAATGGAGATTCTCAAGGGACAATTATGAAGAAGGAGCCACTGACGAGTGACAGGAAAGAGAAAAAGATGACAGAACAGCATAAATCACCATTGCACCTTCTTGCAAGAGAGGCGAGGGCAAAGGCAAGAGCAAGAGCAAGGGAAAGGACAAGAGAAAAATGGCGCTCTAGACAACTCAACGATTTGAAGAAACTTCCTGATTCATCAGCTTTCATACATCACCAATCAAGATCTGAGACGACTCAAGCTGAAACTTGGGAGAAATTAGGTTTCCATAACGAGTTTTCCTCGTTAAAAGGTGATCTAAACCCTCATCACCACCTGTTAGTTAATGAAGCAGCAAGTAAAGACGACATTGAGCAATCTATTGTCATCAGAAAGAAGATGAAGCCTTCTCCAACATTGCATTTTCAGCAAAACCTAATAAATTTAGAAGATGAGACAGCTGCCTGCAGCAACAGCTATTTTCCTCCTACGACTAATGAACATGATCAGGAGATTAGCAGCACTACCACAGGCTCTAGCTTTTCTGCTATGACCAGTGTGTATCCATCTACAGGTATCGAATAATTATCAACCCCAAAAAAAAAAAAAAAAAGTTGTTATATTTCCTGATTAACCTTGGAAAATTAATTTTTGTTTCAATTTTCAGCACTTCATATCTGGAGAGAACCCTGGGAGGTCTACAACTACCAGAGTCAACCCTAATCTGGTTTATGAGCCTTTTTAATGGAGCAATGTAAGATACAATTTCCCTAATTGTTCCCTTATGTTGCAATAACAAATTGTGTGTATTTAATTTCTTATTATCTGTGAATTATATAACTGCTCTACAGTTGGGACAGTAATAAGTGAATTTGTTTAGCTACTATATGTTCTATTTTGTCTGTGTAATATTGTTTCTCTATAGTAATTGTTGGTTCTCAGTGTATATCTTACTGCATATATATGACTACCCTACTAATTTCCTTTTGCTAAAGAGAACCCAAGATGAGTGAATTGGATGAGCAACAGTGGCAGGGAAGTTCAATGACTTCCTAAATTTAAAAGAATAGTGTTATCAACCGTCCAGTACCAATATATGCTATACATCTCGCTTATGAAATAAATTCTAATGATGTAGTGTTAATTTCGTTGATACTATTTGAAGTAATATCAGAATAGATAAACTTCACAGCAGACTATGACCAATTCAAAATGCTAGAAAAGAGTTGAGGATGAGATGCTTGAGCAAAATGAAATACGGAATAAATCTGAAAGGATCGAAGTAGTAATAACCAAAGCAGAATTACTCCAAAATCAATGGTCTTCCTTGAACTAAAAGTAGCACAATTTCTATAGCATGTAATGTTTGGCGTATTTTTCCAAAATGTAGCAGAAGAAGGATTCACATGTACCAATTATTGTAAGTGTTGGTTTCTAGGAGTTTGATTGAAAAAGAAACACTGGAAAAGTTATTATCAAGAATTGGTCATTCTCCCAAGCTTAATGTATCAAAAACAATTCATTAACAGTAGGACACATCTTAAGAACAACATAGATTATCCCAAGATTTTCCTATTGTTGGACTGTTAACTAGTTCTGTGTCAAACTTATTTTATGCTTGAACACATTTAATGCAGATGAGCTTACTTATGACCAGCTTGGTTTTTTTCGGGTTTATGCAAAAATATTTCAAGTACAAAACAATGCTTGAGCATTGAAGTTTGTAGAAATCATGCGCTGAAGCCATCTATAGGTCTTTCTGGTAATGACAGTTGTTTTTGTTTCATTCACATTGATGATTGAAATACAAATTGATGAACATGCATGAACTTCCCTTTTTGTTTGAAGCTGATATATAGTATATATATATTCAGTATCCACTGCAGGATCATCAAATTTAGGAGTCTGGCTGATGGCAATTGATGGTAGTAAACTATACCATTAATTTCAATATCACCATTTTTCCGCCCAATGTAGAACTTTGAAATATTATTTTCGGTTTTCCACAGATGAATTTAAACACATTTGAAGGATCTGGTCGATTTGAATCAAGAATTATTATTATCTATAATAGGTTCTCCCACAACTTTGGTCATTAGTGACACTTTTTTTTTTTTTTTCTCTGGCTGAAGAGTATGATATTTTACAAGCAGGGAGTGGGGACTTTTCTCCAGGCCATTTCAGTCAGTCATCTCCCAATCTTTAGGACTTGGTTTAGTTTGTCATAGTGTCTGGCTTAGGTTATTTTGTCATAGTTTCTAACAACAATTTAGTTTTTCTCTCAAGCAGTAATGTCTCATTAGATGCATATATATATTGAAGACCATGCACAATATATTGTGTTCTTACTGCTGAAAGCTGCTTTTGGTTATCGTTGAGGACTCTCATGCTCAAACTACTTTTAATTGTATTACTATATACCTCATGGACACTTAAAATAGTTCATAGAGCAGTTGTGTTCATAAACCAAATGCATTGGAACAGGTTCCTTCTTTTCACTGTAAAACCTTTTGGCTTTGATAGAACGAGTCACACTTTTGTTTTGTTTTGTTTTTTTTTTTTCTGTTTTTGAATTGATACCTCTATTTAGGTTAGTTTTGAAAATTCTTGTTTTGTTGTTGTGTATTACCTTAGCTACAAACTATATCTACTGCACAGAATGCTACGCAGCAGAACAAATGAACACTATGATGTTAAGTGTATAAAACAAAAATATTCTAAATTTAGAGAGAAAGTAACAAGAGAATCTCTCTAAAAAATACATATTATTCCAAAAAAAATAAAAATAAAAATAAAATAAAAATAAAATAATTCCTAAAGAAGCACTACATCACGGTACTAGAAAAATTGGAGAAGTTGCAAACAACAGAATTAGTCGAGGTTCTTATTTGATAATTAAATAACTAATTTCCTATCTATCTTTTGGAATTGTTGTTCTATGTACGTTAATGTAGATGTGCCTCAACCATTTGCTTCTGTTATACGAAGCTTGTGTTTCCAAGGGGTTGGAAACAACATATATCGGATTCTGATAATGTATGTCACTCAAAATGGTAGGTAAAAAACTACATAGCTAGGATCAAAGATAATGAAAAAACAAGAAAAAAGGTCGAATAATTCAATCACACTAAGCCAAGTGTTTATACTTCTTTTCCAAAATATGGAAATAAAATTAATAAAATCCTAATATTAAGTTCAAAATTCCTAACTTGTGGAAATAATTATAACAAGATCCTAAATTAGAAAATAAGAAAAAAAGAACTAAGGCTAAAATCAAACATAAAACCATTCTTCAATATTTCATTGTTTTCCCCATCACAGGCGATTAAAAGAGCCATACGACCAGGTATGTTTTATGGTACTATGTGATAGGTGACTAAGAAATAACAGGTCTAAAAATTGAGTGTGTCAAAAGTGAAAATTTTAAGATAGATGTGTGGTAAAGTTGGGAAAAATAAAATTAGGGAGAAGACTATTGGTGAAAAAAATAAAGGTAGCACACATAAGAAAATACAGGAGAATCAATTTAAATGATTTAGATATATTTATAAATGACCTATTATTATACCAGTGAGACAGTTTGATGCGATGTCTATTAATGATAAATGAATGAATAGAAAATCATCAAAATTAATTTTAAATAAAATAATAAAAATAAGTTATAATATCTTATGGTTTAACAAAAAATATGACGTTTAATAGAACACAATGAAGAACTTAGATTCATGTAATCAACAAAAACAAAAAAAATGTTGGGGTTGAGTTAAATTGGATGGATGAAGTGTTCTGCACAAATTGTAGAACACCAAAGCAAGAAAGAAATCCCCTCCAGAAACAGCTGATTACATCAGCAATTGGCGATGATATTTATTGACTACATATCATTAAGTTTTTGCTGCTATTAAGTTGCTACATGTGACTTTTATATATATATATATCTGTGTGTGTGTGGACGCGCGCACAAAAGGAAATGATTACACAGAAAACAGAGAAAGAACGAATGAAAATGGCGTCAACATGCAAGAAAGGATGTTCACGTTTTGGGAAAAACATTTATGCATTATATGAGGAAACAAAAACAGTGAACGTCGCAGCACAAAAAAGGGAAGAAACCCATTACCCAGAAAAAGGAAAAAACAAAACAAAGAAGAAAGAAAATTTGCGTCAACATGTTCACCACCATTTTCACAGCAGGCAAACAAATGAAAAAACGGGTTGGGTTGCTTGATGTTCTATTATTACTTGTGCATGTTTGATCAACATCATTTCCCTTTTAGGACATTGGAAACAGTAACAGTAACATTACCATGGTAGCAACACTTTTATGACCAAAAGCAAAACAGTAATAGTAACAGTACCACTCACCATGGCAGCAGCTAGCAGAGAAAGCTTTAACAATGTTTACAGAACAGCTGTTTTTGATACTTTCTTTCAGATGAGAAGACCCACAGGCCCCCAACAAGCTACTCTTCATTTTACTTTGGGTGTAGTTTCCCTACTCCAAATTAATAATGACTCTTCTTGCAATTCAGTACAAATTTAGGTATAAAGAAAGAAGATATTCCAGATTCGGGTTTTGAAGTTTCAGCGGAAAACCAGGAAGAACAACTGGGAAAATACTCAACTCTCTCTCTCTCTCTCATCGAGAGGAGAGAGAGGGGAAGGTCACTGTTAACATTAATGCTCACATTGTACTCGAATGTACTAACTTATCGACGCCTCTGGAAGACTAACTACTACACAGAGAGCGACATCATTGCAAATGGAAGTACTTTGTCTTTAGCAGCAACACGAGAGAGGGGAGGATAGGGCAAGTGGACGAAACTGCCATTAATACTTCCAAACCCAAAGCTCGTTTGATTGAAATGGACAGATTAAATAATCCGTTCTAATACAAATAGGTAAAAGACAAAATTAAATAAATTATTAAAATAATATATAATTTTATCTAATCTATACTATTGAGATATAACTCAATTTACATTTTTTTTCACTTTAAAATTTAATTTAATTTTAATTCATTTGAAAAAGTGCAAGAAAGACTCAAATTAAATCTACTTTTAATTCAAATCTCCAAATTTTATATCAATTCTTGCAACATAATTCAGAGGCTCAAAAAATATATCCCATACAAATGTCAAATTCTGTCCAAAAATTAAACCAATTTACACGTTACCCAACTCCTACACGCCACCCAACTCTAGTCAGACTCCCTCTCTCACAGAAGACCCTAACTCAAACAATAACACATCCGCTACCATGCTCTCTCTCTTTCTACCCTGGAACTCTCTTCTACCTCTCACCTTTTGTTCTTCTCTGCCATGATTCAACCCACTGATAACACAACCTAGGTATATCTCTCTCTCTTTCTTTGTCATACCTCTCTTCCTTCACCTCACGCACAAACACACACAAACACACAACAACCCACGCACACATAACACGTTATAGATCACCCTCGCTCACCCACCCACACACACAAGGCAGAGGCACGTACACACCCAAAGCAACACACACACACACACACACACACAGTAGCATGCAGACACACAAAAAACACTATACACAACAGCACGCTAACACACAAAACACAGCAGACATATTCTGTGTTAATATTCTGTGCTAGGTTTTCTAATTTGGTGCTAAGTTTTGTAATATTGAATGTTAGGTTTTTTAAATTAGGGTTTTCCATTCAATAGGTTTTGTGACATTTGAAAATTTGG